AAACAATATAGAATTGGTTTGTATTCATGCTTCATGCATATATCAGTTTTACTGAAGGTAATAATTACATGTTTCCGAAACCACTTTTTTTTGAGAGAGACAACAGCATTTGAATACGGGAGTGAATCCCCTAAATTACACTTTTGTGTGTGTATGGAACAGAACTCCCTCTCTAAACTGAGATGACTGACACCATTGTAACAATTGCAACGTTTTACATTGCGCGTTTGGTATATGTTATTTTTGACAAAAGTAATAATACAGCGACCATAGACTCGTCATGTTCAGCAATTTGAACTAAACCACCGTATTTTATGTTTGTATGTTTGTACAGGGTTGCCAGGTCTGTGTAACGAAACTAGCCCAACTGACCCTTTGCAGGGAGTTTGATTGACAGGCGATCTGACCAATCATAAAGCAGAATCTGGCATTTTGGTCCGACAAACAAACCAGATGGGAGAGTACATTAACGTTGGTGGACTTGAACTTGAAAAATGGTGTGTATTAACGTCTTTCCATGGTTGAAACAAGATAACTTCTGATGTTCATTCATGTTTATTTCACGCCATAATCTAGTAAAGAGGAAGAGATGATCGGTTCACGTGCCACTTGAACTGAGGTGCTACAGGGATCTGTCACGACACATTGAAGAGCTGCAAAACGGTATTTATTGTTTGAATTTCTTAAAAATGACCATTTTAAAGCTTAGACTTTGTTTTATACCAAAAGTAACCTGCTCTGTTTGTCGGCGTGCTTCAGTAATGCGACTAAAATAGGAATACTCCACATGTCTTAATTCGATTTCTGTTTACTTCGATTATGACTTCAGCCGGATTAAGGTAATCAAAAATCTCTGTTTACATGGTAGATTCTTAATCAGAGTATTGTCTTAATCGTATTAAAATCGGAGTATTGTTGTCCATGTAAACGTACTCAGTGTCCTCTTTGCTCCAAGATGTATTTTTCACTATGTGAGAACATGATGTGTGGTGTGAGAGCGGCATGGCTTGTCGGACATAGCAACAGTAATGAATAGGGACAGGTCTTTGCAAAGGGTCAATTGGTATTCAAAACTAGCCCAATTGCTTTCTGGCAGAAAATAGGTATCAGAATCTCTCCAAAGCATGTTCTAGGGGTCGAAAACCTCCTTCCAGTGGTTCCACCTCAGTTGAAATCACATTTCAGGGGGACAGGAGGTTTAGTTTTAACCCACAGACTAAAAACACAACCTGCGGCAGCAGTATAAAAGTAGCCCTATTACGCGGGTAAACGGAGGACTTGGCAACACTGTTTGCAGAGTGCACTCACGAAGGCCATGTCCACTTATTATAAGTGATGCTTATTAAACATATGTCTTTGGGCTTGTTTTTTGAGCTCGGCTCATATAGCAATCCAATTTATAGTGTTAATAATGTGGACAGGTGCAGGGCACAGTATTTTTTTGAGGACATCTGTTTGTTTGTGTAGTGGTTAGAGCTTTCAACAAGGCCTGTCCAAGGACAAAGTGAACCACCTGATATATTTGTGTCTTGTTGTGAGGTTGTGTGTTTTCCCAGTGGGGTGTTTTAGCTTTGAAAAAAGAAAAGGAATTGAAGGTGTATTGCCAGCAGTGCTCATCAAGGGACCTTGTTCTTTACTGCTTTTACACTTTGCCCAATCAATAATGGATCATCAATTACAAATAGGCTGTTTGCAGCATTCAGGATGTAATCATAAATTAAACATTTACACCTATACATTAAAATTGAACATAGTATAGGTTTAACAGGAACATCTCACATGTGTTCAGCTTCATCAGTGCACTGCCCTAAACCTTTCACACGGATGTGTAATCACTGTTATTCATGTGTAATAGGCAGTCCCACTGTGACTCTATTTTTAAACCTAACGTTATTAATAATAGTAATTTCTCAGGAGTCCAGTAAAAGAAACCTCTTCAGCATTCATTCATAACCTGATAAACTGTATATGTTCAGATGCTGTTTTATGCTTTTTTTCCTGGAAAGAAACTAATTCTTTTAAAAAATGTATTAAACTGATCAAAAGAGAACGGAAAGACATTTATAAATTTACAGAAGATTTCTATTTTAACTAAATGCTTTTCTTTTGAACTTTATAGTTATCAATAAAGCCTGAAAAATATATCCATGTTTCCACACAAATATAAGTTGAATATGAATTAATATTAAAATATAAATTTTTGAAGGGTTATGGTTTGCCATCACAGGAATAAATTACATTTGAAAATATATCGAAATAGAAAACAATATTATAATATTCACAGTATTACTGGTTTTACTGTATTGTTTAATCAAATAAATGCAGCCTTGACGAGTACAAGATACTTCTTTCAAAATCAATTAAAAATCTTACTGAGCTGTGTATTTTATATATATATTGTATTTTTTAATAAAATATATCTACTATATATACATATCTGTGTGCATGTGTGTATGTATGTATATGTGTTTATATAATCTAAAAAAAATGTATTTATATATTTTACTTCAGAAGTGTAGTGCTATTTACAACAGAGATAAAAGTACTCGTATAGTTTATTAAAGCTTGAAAGTGATATATCTATCAATATATCAATATCTACTATTTCTCCTTTTTTGTTCCACAGAAGAAAGCCATATGGGTCTGGAATGACATTAAATGATGTAAATGATGAAATGACGAAGAATTTTAATTTTTCAGTAAACTGTCCCTTTAAGCATAAACCTTTGCGATCAAAAGGATTTTAAGATTTAAAGTATAAATTCAGTCAAGTGCATCCAAACCTTTGACTGGTGCTGTCAAACTGTTTCTCTCCCAGCACCTATAAGTATACGCTTGTATATTTGTATTATTGTACGAACGCTGGTTGGAGACCGCAGTAGACCAGCTCTTCGCTTCCACAGTCCCTTTGAAGCTGAGCCTGTTGGCACTAAACCCAAATCTTGCACTCAGAGAGCAGTGTGGGAACCAGTAGGGGGGGAGAAGGAGGCGTAAGGACAGGGTTAATGAGTCTGTGGTGGAAAAATAGCTAATCTTTGAGACTTTTTAATTGACTTATCAGTTAAGATTGTTAATAATAATTTATTGTGTAATGCACAGTGTTTTGTATATTTGCATTTATATATATTTGTAATGTATTTTGTTGCAGTTTATATGTATCTATTGCAAAAACTCACTACAATAGTGCCGTATATAACGTTTTGTACAGTGACTAAAGGAGACTCATATACTGTTTGAAATATTTTTGCAGTAATACAGTATCTGACGGTCTGACCCCTCTAGGTTCAGGAAGTGCAAAGAGAAAAAAAAGAAAAGAAAAGCCACCCGGTGAAACTTTGTTGATTTTAAAGAATTTCTTGAAAAGAGTGATGTAACTGACCAAAAAATTGCAGTCAGGCATTGTTGCATACTGAAATGCATTGCTTTCATATGTTAAAGCACATTTTTCAGTACGATGGCAAGAAACATACAAAAGAGCTTTTTTCATGCACACATCGTATCTTTAGTTTGAAGGGGTTTTTTTTTTTTTTGCAGATTTTTTCTTTTTACCTCAGCTTTATCAAACTTGTGATAGCTGAATAGGTTTGGATGAAACTTTCAGTGTAAAATGATGGCATTATGGTTCATTTGTTCTATTATGTTACTGAAGGACAGTCAGGCGATTTATCACTTCTTGATACAATGAATTTTGTGTTGTTCTTTTTTGCTGATAGTATTAGTTATTTTTCCAACCAGAAGAAAGAAATTTCGACCTTGGACAAAGTGAGCACTATTAACACACACACACACACACACACACACACACAGACCTCAAACCCAAGGCAGTGGTGAACCGCCTGTTGCTGGTCTCTTGTCTTTCTCAATGGTGCTGTGTGGAAGAATGCTGCCGACCCCCACGACACCTCCAGCCCTCATGCATTCATCACCACAGCCGGAGGAGTGTCTCATGCCTCCCGCCCCTCCTCTGCTTTATTGTCCCATTCTTCTCGCCTTAAACCATCAACCCGTAAACAATCTGGACCATATCACAGCCCTACAATACACGTGCATCTCATCTGGCCTTTTATCTACTTTTCATTGATTTAAATTCATTATTCAAATCTGCATGTACTTGTGACTATCTGTCTATCTATCTGTCTATCTATCTGTCTATCTGTCTATCTGTCTGTCTGTCTGTCTGTCTGTCTGTCTGTGGCTAAGTGGCTTAGTCTTTCATATCCAAACATTTGTATAAAACAAAAAATACTACTACTATTGTTATTATTATTATAATGTGACATTACAATATATTGCAAAATATATCATTTTATTTTCTTCTTTCATATTCAACATATATGCTAATACACAAGCAGCAAAATCCACATAATTTGTAAAGTATAAAAATATATAGTATATATTTTTATAAACCTTTTATATTTTCATTAAAAATATATATTATTTATATTATCTACTACTGTATATTTTGTATGTTAATGTGCATTTTATTATTGTACATTTACTAAATTACATAATAATAATTACTATTATTATATGTAATTTACAAAATCATCCAAAATATACCATCAAATATGTATTTTTTCTTAACCTATATGCTAATATTAGAATATAAAAGACTAAGCTTTGAATAAGCCTTGAATATGAAAGACAAGCAGCAAAATCCACTTCGGTTCCAACTATCCAGGATAAAACCCGTCGGATGAGCAAAGCAAAATCGCGCTTGTACAATGGAGGGCTGTTTTTGTGTCTGTCAGTAGTTGAACATTATTGAAAGGAGTAAGAGCTTCGGGAGGGGTT